CGTTGTGCTAGGATTTCAATGGGGTTCTACTTACAAACAGAATTGTCTAAGTAGGCATCTTCTCTACACCATGATAAGAAGTACCGATGTTGGTGCCTGCAGAGGCCCAAAGTGCAAAGATCCTCAAAAAACCTAAAAAGGAGACCTAATGATAATGCTGACCCCGGAATATCAAGCCCCTGTTTATTACCATGGGGGGTGCTTCTCCCTGGGTTTAGTGGATTCCCTTTCAACCACATGATTTAAATATCACAACCTGGAATTTAGACCGAATTAAACAAGGACATGGGACCCGCTAAACCTAAAATTGGGGTTCAATGTCAAGTATCTGCTTGAATGGGATTTTGTTTCCCAATTTGACACCTGCGTGACTCTGGGCTGTGGACACCGGATTCTCATGTTTGGTTGCTTGCGACCTCGAGCCTTCTAAGTGCCAGAATCCCCACTGACTCGCAAAGTACTGAGAATGTTGCGGACACTCCAGACCGATAGGTTCTATTTAAACTCAAAATTTCGCAGAAAGAGTAAGTTTAAGCTAGCTGTTGAATTTAGAAGCCCATTCATTTGGCAAGAATTAGTGTCCATTCTAACTTTATGAAAATGTAAATCTAAAGCAGGGTTGAAGAAACCCGAGAAGAACTAGGCTTCCAAAGGTTTTCCCTGTAGCTTCTCCTTAAAACCCCCGCCAAACGGGCCAACCGACAGCTTCAAACAATGACAACAACTCGGCCAAACGGGCCAAGCTCGTCCTTTCCGCAACCCAAGCGTCCCAGTCACAGAACGTCAGAGTCCCCTGGTGTGCTGGTATCTCGACAGGAGGCCGTGCTTGAACTTCTTTTTGATCGGTCGCGTTTTAGTGGGTGACGTGAGCAACAGGGTGTTTTCTGGAATTGGCATTGTTTTATTTCGGGTCTTGTTTTTGTTTTTCGTCTTGGCCAGTAAAATGTCGTATCTTCCAGCGAATGTGTCTTTGTGTCTGGCGCATTCATTTTAATCGCAGGGAAGCCAAAGGAACACCACGGATTCTAACCGAAAGGATTTTCGAAACCACAAAGAAACCACAAAGATTCCAGTGAACAAACCGAAAGAAGCCCTACGGTTTGTTTCCCTCCGGGAGTGAGCGAGTGAGCATACGGGGATTCGACTGTCAGACTGGGGAACCGGGGATGCTGGAAAAAAAACAAAATTTAGTCATGATCATACAGAATCATACACGATATTGATTGATAATTATTTCCCCCCCCTCCCCCCCCCGCCCGCCCCCCGCCCAAGAATAGAAACACGAGTCATTTCGGTTCGAAGCCACGTTTTGAACACATTTTTGAAACCCGGCCATGTTGCGATGTCACTCGCGGTGAGCTCGGCGCCCGCCTCTGCTGCGGCCTCTGGGGTGAGCGTGCCTGCCATTGGGCCGTTCCAACCAAAGGTTCCAATTTTCCTGGGTGCGCTGAAGTCTACACCGATAGGCAGGGAATGAGAAATGGAAAGATGATCCGCCCAAAAAACAATCCAACTGTTGGTTTCCTTTAAGGGGATCCTTCATTCCCACTGAGCACCAGCAAGTAAAGATAGCGGCAAAGGCGTAGGACGGATTCGTGAAGTTCTTGTGATGGGACACACGGCATTGCAAGCTTCCATTTGGTTGAGACCCCTAGAAAACAAACACATATTTCCAGTAGTGATAGATTCCTTTTACAACCAACAGGGGAAAATAAAAAGGAAAATCTTAAGCAAATGGAAGCAAGTCTCCGTGTCCTCTTCGCCAACCCCTATCCAATGAGTGCCAGGCCAGAAGCCTCATGAGAACTAGGCGACTAGGCTTCGCAAAGTGAAAGGGCCCAACGCAAGGCGAAGACACGATTTTGGGGGGAAGACCATGGCTTTTTCCCCATCAGTTGTCGTGAAACGCGGAGATCCTTTGGGGCCTGACCAAGCTGCCGGAAAACTCTGGTTCAGTGGCCCCACAACTGGCGAGCCACTGCCGAAAAACACTGGCATTCGCTCCGGGAAAAAAAACAACAACAACCCAAACAAAAACGAAACAAACAACGGGCGACTGCAACTCTCAGCGCCTGCCAGGTCCCGCGTCAAGTCCATGATCTTCGCGGCATCTTGCGTCAGACGGCCCTGGGCGGCGTCCTCGGCGCCGTGCGGCTTGGTCCCGAAAGTGGGCGGCTTTGGGTAGGCGTCAAAACTCATCGACATTGATGTGGTGCAACAAATGGCCATGGGTCAAAACCCAAGTCGTACCACCAGTGAACATCCCGATCCCCACTAAAATAGACTAAAATGGGTGGTGAATTCACCTCTCCCAAAATGGTACCATTGGTTTTGAACCGTGGCCAAATGGTTGTTGTCCTGTTAACGCTTCTTCCCCCCAAACAAATCCCGAAAAACAAGACCTCCCCTGCGATTCATTTCCAGGGGTTTAAACCTTTCCCCAAAAGTGACAAAGGACGAAAGAGACTCGCCACGGATTTGCCAGGCTTTGGTGTGATACAAAGGACTCCCCTTCCCCGACAAACTGAACAAAACAAACACGAACAAAAGAGCAAGGCGTTCCCCCTTCTCCCTCCCTCTCCCCCCCAAAAAAAACCAAACACAATCAGCTGTCACAAACACACATTTCGGCCCACTTCTGACACCAAATGGCTGTGGGTCAAAAATAGGTACCCCAAACGGAACCCTAGTAAGTGGAAACATGGAGCAAAACCTGCGGTCCAATTCCTGGTGGTTTATTTTTGACCCATACCCAAAAAAAGACAAAACGCAGGCTTTAGTCCATGTTTCCATTTACCCGGGCAATTACCAACTCGTCTTGACCACCACATTTCAAATTAAAAAACCGATATTTCGGCCCACTTCTGACACAAAAAAAAGGAAGAACCACAAAAACGGAGAAACAAAAAACCCAACTAGTTTTGACCACCACAGCCAAATTCAACAAAACAAAAGGAGCCAGTGGCCCGCTGGGCGGCTTTAGACACCTGGGCCGCCTCCTTGTCCATGGTGGCGTTGTGGTCCAGCTGCAGCACCAGATCCGCAAGGCCCTCCACGTGCGAAGTCACATTCTCAGGGTCCAGCTCCACCACGGGATCCTCGATCCACGTCTTTTTTTCTTCTTCTTTTTTTTCCGACACCCAGCTCGAAAAACCGAAAAAAAGAAAGAAAGAGACAAACACAAACGTGAGATCCTCCAGTGTGTTTCCCTTTTTTCTCCTTCTTCTTTTTCTTCTTCCGAAACCCAGCTCGAAACAAAACAAAACATACAAACGTGAGTGGCACATCCATCTGGCCATTTCCTTGCTGGTGCGATAGCTGGGGAATGTGGGAATGAACCCAAGGATCCCCTTTAAAGGAAACCACCAGAGATGGTTTATGGGAGTGAACGAGAAAACCAGGGTGAAAAGGGGGGCCAAGTCAATTTTTGGCCAGATTTCAAAGGAAACGCAACAAAGGGTGGCACTGGGCAACAGGTCTGTTCAGAAACGCAACGAACGCAGGGAAAGAGAAGACATTGTTGGTTGGGAAGAAGCCACCTGAAACCTGGTAAATTAGGTTTTTCGTCCCTATGGCCACTTTGTTGTTAGGGGATTCCCTTTCACAGAAAATAGCCCCGATACTCAGTTTCCGCAAGGCTTCGGCCCCATGTCGTTGGGCAGACTGGTTTGAAACCACCAAACCGAATCGATTCGGCCCCGAATCAAAGGATCTAGTTGGCTCAGCCTTGCGATGTTCGTCTTGGCTCAGGGTCGCATTCCAACCAAATTTTGGGACCTTGGAGGAGTTTCCATGGAAACTCATTCATCAACTTGTGGAAGCAGCAGGAGGGTGTCGGGAAAGCATCTCAAAAACTCCTTTAACTGCCAGGTGCCAAACCATGGAGAAAGGACGGAGTTGTTGCCGCCAAAACCAAGTTTCCCGCCCGGGGGGGGGCCATCCTTCATGGTTTGGGAGGGTTTGGGAGCTGGGGATCTGATTTCGAAGGCCTCTCAAAAAATCTCAAAGTCAAGTCAAATCGGCCATTTCTCTTGGGCCATGGCCTGCGCATTATAGACTATATGTTCGCGGACTGCGGCAGTTTGGCTCAGGGCCAAGAGATGCAAGAGCACCGCCATTCGCGCTTTGCTCTGGCATCTTGGGCCCCAGAAAGCTGTGGTTGAGCGATGGCGACCAACCGTTGGCTTCGATTTAACGCCTCGAAGTGGCTCAACACCTTTCAGTTGGTTAAGACCCCGGAAATACAAACATATTTTCAGTAGTGATAACTTCCTTTTTAAACCAACATGGGAAAACAACACAAAAACTATAAAGCAAATGGCTCAACACCTGGCGAGCCCTGGCGAGCCCTGGCTCGGGTGACCAACGGTTGGCTTCTGAAACCAAGGAGTGCTGCATGGTGGCACCAACGAAAGCACACCGCAAGGAGTGCACAAATGGGGATGCCACACACACAAACACAAAGACACAAACACACATGGCCGTGGTTGTGAAAAATAGTGTAACCCCAAAATGGGTCCCTAGTAAATGGAAACATGGACTAAAACCTGCGGTCCAATTCCTGGTTTAATTTTGACCCATACCCACATGCTGCCGGGGGTTCCCCTGTTTTGACACATGCCCGTGTTCTGTTTCGCAAGTTGTTGAATGACAATCTCCGAGACGCGGTGACCAGACCAGGGGACTAGGAGACGAACCAGACGAGACCACAGGCCTGAAAAAAAGTGCTTGACCCCCGGAATAATTTGCTTTGATCCCCTGAATTCATGTTTTTGCAAAACTAGGGACCTGAACAAGGTGTCTTTGCTTTTGGCTTTCCTAGCCAACCTAAAAGGGGCAGCCTCAAGAACCCCCCCCCCCCCCCCGTTTGGGGGTGTCTTTTTAAGGGGCACCACTTTTTGTGAATTTGAAGGGAAACCCAGAGGAAATCCCCCCCCAAAGAAAAACACACACACACACACACCCATTTCGCCCACCGGTCAAACCACTATGTCCGGCACCTGGCAGCTGCAACCACTGCTGTCCAGGCGCAAGGCCTGGAAAGGCGGTCAAACTTCAAGGGGTTCATGTAGTAGGGTGTTACCGCAGGGCGTTACCGCTAGGTGCAAACGTGGGTTTGCGTGGGTGTGATTCAGCCTGTCTGTGTGTCTGTGTCTCTCTCTCTCTCTCTCTCTCTCTCTTTCTGAAAGGGGCCAACTGTGGACACATCGAGTTGAAACTGCGCGGATCGAAGCCTACGGTACCCATGCGATCGATCCAATACGGGCTCTGGTTTTGGAGGGTACCCTTTTGAGGCTGGGTCATGTTGGCTTAACAGCCAGCCAAACTTTGAAAGTATCATGACACATACCCCGCACCCAAATGATACGCAAAATGATCTGTCCATAGGGCGAGCCTTCGGGATTCAAGGCCAAGGTGAGCAGAAGGTACCCTGATTTCAGCACCCATTTGTGATATGCTTCAAATGATAGGTGCTCCGACCAGAATGTTCGCCTTCACACAGCCTTTTGCATCACAGCCATTGATGGGTTTGCCTCAAAATCGGGGACCCCCCCAACATTGGTGGCTTCCCTTCTGTGTACCGATTAACCCGCCCCACCATTGGTAGCCTCAAAGAGAGACAGACACATTTGACACCCAGCGCTGGCCGCCAGATCCGAAAAGCCAAACCCACTCTCCAAATTCTGAGGGTTCTCTAGATTCAAAGGGTTTGGTTACAGGAAAATCTACAGGACAGGCCCAAAACACCCTGAAGAAGCCGTTTTGTAGAATTTCCTTTAACCCAATCCTTTGGCACATGCCGCCCCTTGATGGAGATACCCATCCAACATCGGTGGTTAGGCGTGGCTGAAAGAGGATTGGAAAACAAAGGCCATCTAGGGATACCAAATCAACGCACAACTTGGCGACTCCTTGCTTTAAGCTTTGTTTCTGGGTCTTGTGCATTTTGGCCGACTCTCAACCCCCCAATTCCTATTGAAACAAGGGCGCCAATTCAATTTAATTGTAGTGACCCACCTAACAATCTACAACTTCTAGACTAATTCCAAAAACCTGAAAGGGATCCTGCTGGACTCTCACGGGATTACGTGTGTTTTACGGGCGCCTGAATCGGTGTCCCATAGAGAAGCGGCAGCCGTGGGAATCACCAAACGTTGTTCCCTAAGTTGGGGTGAACCACAAGCGGTGGAAGCCAAAGAACACCAAGCTGACAACCAGGTGCTCAACTCGGTTCGGTGGGGAGAAAAAAAAGAGCCTCGGGCAAACTCGGCCTCTCAATTGGCTCATCTGGGTATGGATCAAAAGTTACACCACCCATTGAGGCCATGCCATTTACCCATCGGGCAAGCCATGTCCGTTACCTATTTTGACCACCACGTCCACAGGAAGTTGGGGTACCAACCAACAAACACCACCAGGTTTCTGCCTCCAGTTCGAGGTTTGTGGCTGTAAAGAAAACAAGGAAAAGCATGGCAAAACCATGTCTGGTTCATCCGTTTCTTGCTGATGCTCAGTAAGGAATGAGGAAAGGACCCAGGCTTGGGGGTCTCCTTAAAGGAAACCACACATCGGGGATGGTTTATCTTGGGGTCATTCCATTTCTCGTTCCCTGCATCCCTCGCAGCAAGGTTTCTCCATCAGGGACCGCATATCGAGTTAGGGTACCCCTTGGTGCTTTGTTCCCAGGATATGGTTGGCACCGCTGGTAATTACCCCGTGGTTGGTGGTTCCCAAGAGAAGCCCATGCTTGGGGTAGCCCATAGCTCATCTTTTTGGGCACAAACCACTAGGTCCCCAGTAGCTTGAGGATAGAATAAGGGTACCGTTCCTTTGTTCTGTAGTCTATTTTACTAGGGGAACCCTCCCAACCGAAAAAGTTGGTAAAAGGGCACCTAGTTCAACTTTTCGTGGTTTAATGGAAAACCCACTAGTTGGCAACAAACATAACCAAAATTTTGCCGGCCCGCCCCCCCCCTCACCCATGTCGGCTGGCCCAAAATCCTGTCCGGCGGGCCTTCAAATTTTCGGGGTTCGTCGGCGTCCAGCTCCATGGGTCTATGTTTGTCGAAAATGTGCTGACAATTGCAAAAATTGCTTTTTTCTCCTGACAAGCATGATCTCCTGCTGGCCAGGCCTGTCTGACGTGTCTGAGACCAGGCTCAGGCCCAGCCCAACCAGCAACCCGCCTGAGGCCCAAGCTTGCCTGACACAGGCCTAGCCCACACGGCCCCGCAAGCCCAGCCCAGCCTGCCCAGACCCCGGCGCATCTCAGGGCATGCCAGCCACTAGGCCTGCCAAGGTCATGTTTGTTTAACGTGTCTGAGACTGGCCTCAGCCCAACGACCAGGCTCACGTGTCTGAGACTGGTCTCAAGCTATGCCAGCTACTAAGCCTGTCTGACGTGCCCCAGCCCCTCAGTCTGCTTGGGCAGCCCAGGCTGGCCAGGTCGACCTCCTTCCTGCTCACGTCTGGCCCCAAATCATCCAGCAGGAACCTTCGGCGCAGTCTCAGACTGGTCTCAAAGTATGCCAGCCTGAGACTAGCCTCAGGCCCAGTCCCTCAGCCCGCCTGCTGGCGTGTCTTACGTGTCTGCGACTGGCCTCAGGCCCAGCCCAGCCAACAACTTGCCACCCAGCCTCAGGCCCAAGTGTGTAGCCCGCCCAGCCCAAGGCTGCCCAGCAGCCAGCAACCCACCCGTGGCTTCGCAGCCTTGTGGCTGAGACTAGCTTCAAGCCCAGCCCAACCAGCAACCCACCTCAGCCCAGCCTGGCCAGCCCAGGCCCCGGCGCATCTCAGAGCATGCCAGCCACTAGCCCACCCTGGCCTGCTGCCAAGGTCAGGTTTGTCTAACGTGTCTGAGACTGGCCTCAGGCCAACGACCAGTCTCACGTGTCTGAGACTGGTCTCAAGCTATGCCAGCTACTAAGCCTGTCTCAGCCCCTGGCGCAGTCTGAGACTGGAGCCTGAGACTGGAGCCTGAGACTAGCCTCAGGCCCAGTCCCTCAGCCCGCCTGCTGGCGTGTCTTACGTGTCTGCGACTGGCCTCGGGCCCAGCCCAGCCAGCAACTCGCGGCAGCCAGCAACCCACCCATGGCTTCGCAGCCTCGTGGCTGAGACTCCAGCCCAACCAGCAACCCAGCCTGCCCAGCGCATCTCAGGGCATGCCAGCCACTAGGCCGGCCCCCAGCTCCCAGCTGGCACCAGCAGGCTCAGCCCAGCGTGCCAAGGTCAACGTGTCTGAGACTGGCCTCAGGCCAACGACCAGTCTCACGTGTCTGAGACTGGTCTCAAGCTACGCCAGCTACTAAGCCTGTCTGACGTGCCCCAGCCCCCCAGTCCGGCTGCCCACGCAGCTCAGCCCAGGCTGACAGTCTTGGTTTTGGATTTCAAACCTTCCGAGCAGGACGGCTTCCGAACATCGAACTAGCACGGGCGAACTGGTGCGGTCACAAGCTTTCAGTAGGATTCGGACCTTCCCAACACTGGATTTCGGTGTTCCTGACCCTTCCCTCAAACTAGGCTGGGCCGAGGCGGGCAACGCGAAGCGTTTACAATTAAAGTCCTAACATCCAAGCAAAATGCACCAAAGCCATGGTTCATCTCTTTGGGAACAAACCACACACCACACACTTTGCCACCTTCGCGCCTGCGCCTGGCACCTGAGTTGCGCCGTGCCAGCCTGAGCCCATGCGCGGAAGGCTCAGCTGGCGGAGGGCGGATGGATGGCGGATGTGCCACGAAAGGCTAGCCTTCCGTTTGGGCGGAATGAATCAGAAGTAACCAACCAACAGTTGACAAACCAAAGCAACAAACCAAAGGTAGCAAACAAAACATAGGACAATCAACAGCAACAAATTAAATGCAAAAAATCAAGGTTTCATTAGGACACAAATGCAACAAACCAAGGTGTCGTGCTCAAAAACAAAGACACGCAACAAACCAGGGTTTCGTTTCAGAAGAAACAAAGGGAACAAACCAAGGTTTCTTTTTCTGCAAAACCGAAGAGGGACCACACCTTTATTAACTCACTTCCTGAGGTGGCATGGCCAAGAGACCTCGGTCTTTTTGTCACCACCAAGATGGTCCAAACCCGAAAAGTGACGAAAGTCCAGGAACTCAGGAAGTGAGACAACTCATCCTTCGTTTCACCTCCGCCCAGCGGATTTCCATGGGACGGACAAACGGCGCCAAAAGGCGAGGGCTGGGGCCGAGGGGCGTAGTCGGGATTCACCCCGGCACAGTCGAAGGATTCCGCGCTGCCACTGGCCAGCTCCTGGGGTCCGATTGAAACAGAGCCTAGGGAGGCAAGACCGGACTCTAGGGGTTGATTCCGTGTCCCCATTCTTCTCAGAAAAATCGCTCTTTTCAAGAAACGGATCCGTTTCCCCGGTGTTTTGGGTGGATTTCTAGAAAGGTTCGGGTCCCTGGAAAGAACGGGGAAGTTCCCCCCTAGAAGGAAGGAGAGGAAGAAAGGAAAGAACAAACAACATACAGAAACAACGGTAGCAAAAAAAATAAACAGAAACAAAGGAAAGAAGCACAGAAGGAAGCAAGGAAGCAAGGAAGCGAGGAAGCAAGGAAGCAAGGCAGCAAGCAAGCAAGCAAGCAAGCAGGCAGGCAGGCAGGCAAGCAAGCAAGCAGGCAAGCAAGCAAGCAAGGAAGCAAGGAAGCAAGGAAGCGAGGAAGCAAGGAAGCAAGGCAGCAAGCAAGCAAGCAAGCAAGCAAGCAAGCAAGCAAGCAAGCAAGCAAGCAAGCAAGCACGCAAGCAAGCAAGCAAGCAAGCAAGCAAGCAAGCAAGCAAGCAAGCAAGCAAGCAAGCAAGCAAGCAAGCAAGCAAGCAAGGAAAGGCACAAGAATAAGGACACGTATACGGAAAACCAACAACAAACAGCACAAGCAAGCAACCAAACTGAAAAGCCATCGATTAAACAAGACCTCGTTTTGAGACGCACCTGCGAGCAAGATAGCCCTCCGGGATCAACCGTTCAGAGCCATGCAAAAAGGAGGCTGCCGACTGTTTATCTGATCCATGGATGCCAACATGGTTTGACAAGCCAAATATGCTCCCCGCAAAATGGGTTTGCGGTGTCTCCAGGCTTGACAAAAGCAAACACACAATGGATACAAACCCAAAAAACAACACACACCCAAAACAGCCTGACCTTCCAAGGAGTGTGTGCAAAGTGCAGTTGCCACACTCGCAGCATGCCAAATGTGCTGAGTGATTTCACCTGCTTTTGGCGCAAATCCGCGCGGCTGACCCCCGAAAGACTGCCAAACAAGCACAAGAAACACCATGCTATTTTTCAGTGGTTGCTGGTTTGCTCTGCCTGCCACACGGAACCGAACTCCAAGTCTCCAAGTCCCTTTTGCGGAATGGAAACGGCTGGAAGCCTCAGGCGAACTCCTGCCTGCGACAAGGAAAGGTTCGCACTGGCATCGTAGAGCGTCAGCGTTCGGGCTGTGCCCGCAGCGCAGGGCAATCCCCTCGGCCGGAGAGCTCAGCGAAAGCTCCCTCTCTCCCCCCCTCTCTTTCTCTCTCTCTCTCTCTCTCTCTCTCTCTCTCTCTCTCTCTCTCTCTCTCTCTCTCTTCAGGTTGGTGTAACAAAGAAACCACACGGGAACCACCCATTTGCACCCCAGCTCATTTAGGCACATACCCAGACTAGGACCACCCCAATGGCTGTTAAGTGGAGAAGGGTAGCACCCCCGCAGCGCTGACCACGGGGGCCTTCCTCCCTCGTAAGATTTTCTTCCAGGCGCACCAAAGGGTCCCAACACCATCCCCTTGACGGCCCTCATTTAGACATATTTAGACTCATCTTTCTGGGGCGCGCATTTTTTTTGTGGCTCTGAAGGCGGGCTTGCCAAGTAAGTACACCCAACTCAAAGAGGCGAATCCCGATTGACGGGGTCGTAACTGGGGGGGCTGGAACATAGAATAAATATGACACATCCGTTTTGGGTTTCCTTTGGGGACTCTAGGCTTGGGAAAATGGATATGTCCCTCTTTGGGCTTGCCCTCTGGGACTCGAACAATTATACTGGCTATCCAGCAACCTCCAGAATCATGGACCCCTAAGAAAGGTCATGGAGAGGGGGGCATTTTCCTTAACAACCCCCTAACAAGGCCTTATTCAGGCCTTCTCCTAGGCTTATCCACCTGCGGGTCCATGACCGAACCCTTCGCAAAAGACAAACACATCCAGGCGGGGTTTGGCTCATCTCTCACCTTGGCTTCTCCTAGGCTTATCCCGCTGAAACTTGACAGACGCCTGGGCAAAAAACCGGTCTTCCCGGCGGGGTTTGGCTCATCCTTAGGCTTATTCCAGGGCTCCAAACCCGCACCTGAGGCCTCCGACTCGCACGCGGAGACGTCCGCCGCCAGAGCCCCAGCACTACACAGTACCGAGACCTCAGCTCGGAAGGCAGAGGCGAAGGTGCAGTTGCTTGCACTAAGTTCATATTTTCATGAACCCCCCCCCAAAAAAAAAACTCACTGGCTGAGTGGATGGCCCCAAAAAAATAACCAAACTTGTTGTTTACCACTAAAATGGTATTCCCAAACAGTTTAAAGCTCATGAACTCAGGATCAACGCGTGTGTTTAAGAAAGAAAACAACATGTTTTAAGCAGGTGGCTTTGAAAAGGTGCTTGAAAGGATCTGAAGTGTGATTCATTCGTTTCACACGTGGCTCTTTGATAAGCCACTTGAGGTTCTCCTGGTGTTTGACAACTGTCTGAAAAGGCAGATCTAGAAAACATAAATTGGGGAATCTAGCTAGAACGTGCTAAGATGGTCCCTAAGATGGTCCAGGTCTGTTTGGAGGGAAATCTGCTTTGGGACAACGTATTTATTCTTTTCCCCCTTGATCGGCTTCCTTTTGGAAAAGGCAGTGCCTTTCCACGAATTCGGACAAAACCCACACACAGACACACACACACACACACACACACGTGCAACTATGTCGATTCGGAGTAGGTGGCAACAACTGCTTGCTACAAGTAGTTCAGGCTAGTTCCACTATCACTCCTCTTCTTGTGATAGTAGTTACCCCCCCTTCGTCCCCGAGCACCCCGCCCCCCCCCACACCCCTCCACACCCTAACGACAACTTTTCCCCGTGTTCAAAATCCCAAGTACTGTCCAAACAGCATTCCTCAGGGGTTGGAGTTGAGAAATTGCTGCAGTTCCTTAGAGGGTCTGGCCTTCTTGTTTCGTACCACCATACAAGTCACCCAAGTTGTAGGTCACCGTGATTGCTGACTTTGATCAAACTAATCTGCGAAGCTCCGAGCAAAGAGCCCTTACCATGGTGAGCTACATTTTCAACCCCTGAATCGCTGAGCTTGCCCAAGAACTACTCAACTTCGGCCCTGCTTCTTTGGGGTTCCACACGAAAAAAGGCTCGCAAGCCGCGCCGGATCGCGCCGGAGCCCGTTTTTGGGGTCTCAGGGTCCAGGAGCTCGCGCTCCACGTCGCATGCGTCGCTCGGTGCGTCGCTCGCTGGGCGTCGCCGGGGCCCCCGGCAGATCCCTGGTAGCCGCTGGCCAAGTCGCTGCAGGCCTTGAAGAAGCCGCTGCCGTCCACGATCTCCTGGGAAACATTTGCCGGAACAAACCATGTGCTCCAGCTAAAAACCAAGCGCCCGCCTGAGCCTCTCAACACCAAAAAGGACCAAAACGCTTTCTTTGTACCCACAAAACCAACAAAAAAAAGCGTCTCCACACCACAAAAAGACGAGAACACAGTTTTCCAAGGGAAATCCTACATTGGTGGGTTGGAGCCGAATCGGTTAGGAGGGGAAACCCCCATGTACCCTCTACAAGAACCAGGCCTGACATCCAGGCCAACTCCACCAGAAAAAAAAAAAAACAAAAAAACACGAACACTTCCCTTGTACCCGAAGGTCATGGCTTCGGTTTAAGCTGATGTCACATCTGAGAACCTGGGACTTCCCTTGAACCCATGGTCAGCCCGCCAGTTTTGTTCAGTTTGGTTCTTCCCTTTTGCCCGAGCTGATGTCACATTCCATGCAACTTCCGGATAAGGTATTGGTTTCGAGTTCGCCTGTCACCTCAGGACTTGGGGGGAGCTCCAGGGTTTGCACGTGTTCTCAAAGGCGCAGATCACCTGCCTTTGCTTTTTGTTTTGCGAGAGCTGATGTCGCATGCCCTTTATCTCTCCCATAACTAATCAACCGGTAATGGTTTACCTGATGTCTCCCCACCAAAAGGAAACTAACTACCAGTTTGCCTCCGCAAGTAATGGTAAACCCGTTGAAACAAAGACATCTAGGGACCACTTGGCCCAGTCTGTGATAATTAGGAGGTTGCAGCTCTCGGCAGTTTGGGTTGGATCAACCTAAAACCCCTTGTGCAACAACAAAGCGCGCATGGGAATGTCTCAAAGTGGTGACCCTCCTTCTGCATGGCATTTGCCAAGAGAAAAATGAGGCAATATTATGTGGTACCCGAAATCGAGACATCATATGCTTTGCTCAGAAAGCCCTTGCAACCGCTGTGACACCCTGTGCCCATGTCGCAAGGGACACGAAAAATCACTGACTCTCAGAGACGAACTCCAACCTCAATGATTGAACATATTGAGCATCTTAACGCCGCGAAGATTGCGGGCCCCCCCGAACCTGTTCTTTCCAAATGTGTTTCCAAGAATAGGGTACCCTCAAAATAACTGGTTTCCGGGGGTCCATGACCAATTTTTGTTGAGACATGTTTACATGAAGCAGCGACAAAAAACAAATCCACTATCATGGATATGACTCTCCGTGATTCTCCCTTTCTGGCCATTCGCGTTTGATTTCACTCCACAAAGACATGCCCCCTGGCCGCACTCTCTGTGGCGACTGACCGACCGACAACTACGCAATCAGCCAAAGAGCCAATCAGCCATCCCGCTGCTTTCGAAGGAAAACGTAGCTCTGAAAGCCAATCACAGCATTCCCGATAAAACCCAACCTTTCGTAAAACAGCGGGTTTCTTTCTGTGTAGATGTCCAATCAACAAAATATCACCCATACCCCGCCGTACTGGACCCCCGGTGATGTTTAAACCCACAAATAGGGACAAACTCACAGGGCCGAAAAGGTGATGTTCAAAACCGCCAAACCAAAATAGCCATGGGTCAAAATCCAAATCGTTCCCCCCTGTGAACATCCCAATCCCCACTAAAACAGGTTGCAAAATGAATTTTCACCTACCAACCAAAATGGGATCCCAAAACGGTTTTGACCCACAGCTAAATGAATCTTGAGACACCTCAAGGGCAAAAATCCATCGAGCCTGTGGTGTCGCCAGAGAGTGGCTGGTGCCTGCGAAGACCACCTGAATGCGAATGAATTCGAAGGGGACCTGGACTCCGCGTTTTTTCGACCAGCCTCTTTTCCCGGATCCCAAGAGGTACTGGACCCTTCAAGGAAGAGGCACAAGAGGTAGAGTGAGAAATGCAACCCCAGCCTGTTTTCTGGACCTTGGCATATAGGATGCGAAGCTTGACCTCTGGGTTTCTGTCAAGTTGCATAAGACCTCCAGTTTTTCGTTTGGCCTCCCTCTAAACCAAGCTGACCAGAGTACCTCCAAACGGATTCCCTTTAGTTGGGTGGCCAACTACTGGGTAACCCAAAGCGCGTTCCGAGTGGTGCCTTTAGCCTCGCGACCCGTATACCTGAGCCCCGGAGTCCCCAAGTCCCTTTGGGGTGTTCACATGGACCCAAGTCTCTGGTCTCAGCGGAACGTCGCCCTGCCTCCTTTCAGCTTCCGTGCTGCCACGGCAGGGCACCCTTTGAACCAGCGAAAAAACATAGACTCGAACAAGGGACTGGGGCTTCCAAACACTGAGTCATGTTGGATCCAAATTGAGTCTTCTGGAAGCAAGGCCAAACGGGCATAACTAGGCACCCTGTACCCTTGAAGGAATCAGGGAGGCTATTGAGACACCTTTCACCCAACAACCAGCTGTCCAAGGAGTCCATGGTAAATTGTACATTGCCACAAACAACAACTGAGGACCCTCCACTTGTTTCTCCATCAGGGTTGTCAAAACCATGGCAAGGCCCTTGTGCTTCTTTTGTTCATGTTGGTCCAAGAACCAGGATCCTCACGGCAATCAAACCTTGCAACTGTTCGGGCCATTTGACCGGCAACGGGGCAGTTTGGAAAAAGGATCTCAGTCTTGAATTCCCGCGGAAGTCACCACCATTCGGGGGTCAAAAACATAGACCTTTGGACCGCCAAGGGCACATTCAACCTGTGGCGTTTTTCAGGAAACCCTCCGGTGCAACCCAGTAAGGCCTTCTTAACTTGCATCTGAGCCGCAGTTGCTGGCCGGGAAGGCAGGCAAACCATGTAGCAGGAAGACCTCGTCGCACTTCGGTTTTTGGCGCAGTTCGGCCAAGTTGCCAGGGGTGGTGGGGGGTCCTTTTGAGGACATACTACGGTGGTTGGGTAGACTCCTTGCGTGGTTTGGTTGAACCGCTCACTGAAACATTGGATTCTTCGACATGCCAGATCTGAGGTCTCCCCGGGATCTGGCTTGCGACCATCAAGACCTCGCGGAATGTGGACAGCCATTGCAGGGGGTTTTTATTTGAGGGAACGATGGCCCCAACTCGAATTTCTAATTCTGGCTGTTGATGTAGCAGTTTTCCTCTGGCGTTGGAGTCTCCTAACTCTAAGCGCTGTGCCCTTTTTGGCTTCGCTTTAAAGCAACACCCAAAAACACAAATACCATCAAAAATAACAAGAACTGCATTTGGGCAGAAAACTAGCAGATCTGGTTGGGACACCCCACTCCCCTTCAAGTTCTTTGTTTCGGTTTACTTGGCTCTCCTGGCACTACGACGCCCTTCCCGCGCACTGGGCGCCGGCGTGTCCACGATGAGTTCGCCGTACTGGCAATTCAGCCTCAAATCGCCTCAATCTGCACTGCGCAGAACAAAGGCGAAGTGAGAGAAAGAAAGGAGGAAGGGGGAGAGGGAGGTAGTGAGGGAGAGCGAACAGGCGAGAAAAAGAGAGAGAAAAAAAGAGAAAAAGAGAGAGAGAGAGAGAGAGAGAGAGAGAGCGAGGGAGGGAGGGAGAGAGAGAGGGAGGGAGGGAGGGAGGGAGAGGAAGAGACGCAAACGCAAAGACATATTTCAAAGCCCTGTTCTAACGAAGGTCCCTTCACTTCCCCAAAAATGGTGTGGGCCCAAAGGTCGCCTGACTTTTTTCCAAAGCGGAGTCCAAAGGCCGATCAATTCCGCCTCCTTCCCCCCAAGCGGGGTTGGGGTCCAAAGCGGACTGAGCTACACGGGCCAAACCAAGAATGTGGTCGTGAGCATTGAAACCAAAGCAAATCAGGTCATGACAACGACGGAACAAGCAGTCTCCCTCCATAAATGCCAGCTTCTTCTCAAGTCCAAACCCCCAAGTGCTGTCCAAAAGCAGTCGTTGAAAGTGCTGGCTGGGGTCCGGTGAGAGACAGAGAAAGTTGATGCTGTGGCCACAGCACTGGATGCTCTGCTTGCGGGGAACTTTAGAACCAACCTAAGTCATCATCATGGGAAAATGATGTGGGCAAGAACTCCTCGTGAAAAACGGTTGGACATAAATCCCCAAATGATGTCCACCCGAGGTCCTCAATAAAATCAATATGTGGCTGTGGGTCAAAACCCAAATCGTACCCCCAGTGAGCATCCCAATCTCAAAATAGATCCTAAAATGGGTGGTGAATTTTCACCTACCAGCCAAAATTGGGTCCCAAAACGGTTTTGAACCATGGCCAAATGAATCCTGAGACACTGGTTTTGAACCATTGTGTGCGTGTGTTTGCGTTTGTATTCAGCCCCTACCCCCCCCCTCTCTCCCATTCTGAGCACTGCACCCCGAAGCACCTGACTGACGAGACCCCCGACTCTCGAAACGGTAACTGCGAACCCCCTTTTGTTATGGTATTGTAATAAGGTCGTCAATCTACTTTTACCTGAAAGCAGGCATAGAAGCTACTTTAAAGTACCCTTTGAGGGATCCCTGGACATCATTTTAGCCGCTCATGTTTAAACAACCTCCTTGTTTTGCTTTCCCTTTCAAAAAGCCCAGGGTCTGGTTGGTGAAAGCTACTTTCGCCCAATCCTGGACAAACAGAAACACAAAAAGGAAAAACACTCAAAACGAACAAGGCATGCCAAACTGGGCAATGCTTCTTAAGTGAGCGGGACAGGACAATTGCCGCGCAGTTGATCTGCGCATGACAGGATCAGCACCATGTTTGTGCCCTCACACCTATTTTGCCATATCTTGAAAAGGGCATCCATTCTTGAATACATATTGTGTGTGAAATAGAAGGCTTGAACAAAAACGCGGACACATACCGTCATCCTCTTGGCTTGGACGAACAACACATACACATAGTCAAGCCCCCAATCTCCGTCCCCGCCTCGTCTACCGCTTCACAGGTGGTGGTCTCCGTCTGTAAGTGCGCCAAGCCGGCTGACCTGGCAACTGAGATCACTTAAGGCTCAAAGGAAAGAACTCCCCAAAAAAAATAATACAAGTGACTTGAAGAACGTTCACGTTGTGGACCCAGGCTCATCAAACAAAACACTGGGCGCGCGGCTATATAGATGGGTTAACGTTGGCAAGGCGTCTGACTACTTCAGGAGGAGACACGTTTTTATATGCCTCTGGGATGTTTCTGCAAAGCCGTGTGGACCACCCGCGGATCGAATTTCCAACTCCGTTTTGTGTGGCAGGAGTGGGACGGTCAACATGAAGGCTTTGGAGCGCGGACATTCGACCGCATGCAAGGATTCTAGGGGCTGGTGTTCTCTAAGAAGTCTTAAGAGGCACAAGTGTTGTCCTGGCAGTGTATTGCACATGCCCTGTTCTCTGGTGCCTAAAAGCAGGGGGCAGCGGGCTAGGGCCTTGGAGTTGGCGCCGTGATGAAACTGTTTGATATCTAGTTTGATGTCTAGGTCCTCCAGTAGAGAGGTTGGAATAAGTTGGTACCCTTCTTGTTTCTGTAGTCTACTTCAGTAGACGAAGACCCTCCCCAAAGAAAGGGTGAGAAAGGGCACCCAGCTGGAGGACCTTGTGGTGGCTGGTCTGTTTGGTGTGTTTGCATCTTCAGGAGCTTGGGGCATTCCCCTCGGCAGGACTACTTGGACTCCCAAACCAATGACAACTTGCTCACGTTGAAGGGATTTTTTTTGGTGGTGCTCAGTAGGGAATGCTCTGATGTTTTTTTTGCTGATCACATAAAGTGGCCCCTTCCATTTTTTCACATGATGGCTTGGGCAATGAACTGCAATTGGGGAACACTTTCAAACATTGTTGGTAGACATGACCCTCCTGTGAATGATGTCCAGCAACGGGTCCCCCCCAAAAAAAACACACTTTTCTGCTGAGTCTGCGGGCAACTTTCTCGGGAGTTCGGGAATCCAACAGTCCCACTGCGGGTCTTAGTGAAAAAAACGGCTTATGGCACTCGCAGGCGGGGTGTCTCAGTCTGAGCTCCCCGGCGTGGTCACTGTGCCCTCGAGTCCTCTGTATTTCACGCTCAGGTCCACTCCTTCGCAGGCTCCGTCTGGGGGCGGGTTCGTTCACGAGGGACCTACACACAAAACGACTCATTTCCGCAAAAGCAAAAACTGGCCATCGGTGCGATAGCGTCCCTGCGGTTGAATGAACCCAGTTGCTTTGGTCCCCTTAAAGGAAACCACCAGTTGGATGATTCCCTGCCCATCGCACCAGCAAGAAAAGGACATGGGATTGGGGCCCCATGTCCTCCCCCAAAACAGCAATAGACTATTACTAGTATTCCCAGTTCCTCACATGGAGGTGTGAGATGGTGACAAACAAAAGCAGTGCACCACCTGAGATACATCCTGCAAGGCTCTGTGGAATTCCTGTGCATCAGCCTTCGCTTCTACTCAGTTGTCCCCTTGGAAAGGTTCGGGATATGTGTTCTGTCGATGCTGCTTATATCGCAAATTCTGAAACCCTCATTTCAACACGTGTAAGTAGTGTCCTCAATTGGCATGGAATTTTGGTGAGTACCATGTTGCTTTGGTTGTGACTTGCTTCGTGCCAACCAACTTTGAGGTAGATGACAGGGCTGTCCTTTTGCCACCTCATTTGGGATAAGCTTGGCATAACTTGAAGAGGAATCAACTGCACATTTGGAACCCAAACCCATTCTTCCCCAAAGACGGTTTCCAACAAGCTGAACAATGCAAGCCCATGCTTTCTTCCAATCATGCAACCTGAGTTTATATGGTTATGGGTCAAACCCCCTTACCCCCAGTGAACATCCCATTCCCCACTAAAATAGGTTCTAAAATGGGTGGTGAATTCACCTAACCCAAAATGGGATCCCATTGGTGTCGACTGCCATATCTCCTTCCACTCAGATCACATGGACCCGCCTGCGGAGCAGGATTTGGGCACGCACAGGTTCTCCACACCTCGGGAGCGAGCGGCATGGCCGGGCAACCTGCGCGCACTCGGCTTGGGTTGCTCTCCAAGGAACACCTAAAATCAGCTAAAGGCCACCGACGCCGTTGTTTTTTTGGGCTCTGTTTTGCTTGGGTGTCCCCTTACGTCTGATGACACATACGCGCTGGTGTTGTTGAGGGTACATTCTTTGGGCAGCAGAGGTACCACATTGACGACATACCCGTTGTCCTGCTTTTGGTGAGGGTACATTTGTGGGGGGGGGTTCAAAGGAAAACCAAAGGAACAGCCGCTATTCGCGGGACGTGAAGGCTGAGCTGGCGGAAACAGGTTCCCCAAATATAGACAACCATAGCTCGACGTGAAACAACACCATGAAGCCAAGGTGTTCCTTGAAATTTCGTATCTCCCCAATGCGAACTCCCATGTTGACAAGGACCTTTCCGTCTTTTTGTGACCGAACTTTGTGCGCCTTGAGACAGTTTCACTCTTCGCAGCTTGTGCAACGGATTTGGCAGCCAAATCCAAACAAAAGGGACAAGCATAGAGGCAACAGTGGCATACGCTTTCTTTCTTTCGACCCTTTTAGCGGTTCATCGAGACCCTGCAATTTCCCGGCAGCCATGAACCGGGTGCTTGGACTCCAAAGCGCACCTTTGCTCGTTGGTTTGTGCTCAGTTGCTCCCTGAAAGCCTGTAGATGTGTCAAAATAGGATGTGCACCCTCCAAAATGGGTGGGTTCCCTTTCATTTGCAACTTTATCGCCATTTGCTTAAGCCTCCTGGAAAAAATAAAGATGTTTCCAGTAGTGATAGATTCCCTTTAAAATTAACAGGGGAAAAACTATTCTTGAGCAAATGGAAGTTAAAGCCAACCCCAACAAGGGTAAACCTCAAAAAGCACCGGTGCAGATCTGAGTGTCGGAACTGGAGTAGTTGCCCAGGCGTCCGCAGGTCACGCGGATCTCGCCGACCTCAACTCCAAGGTAGTGCTGAAGTGGTGACCTGCTCTCAGTTAAAGGACCCAGAAATGTACCTCAGATGCTCAGTGGCCTTGGGGAAAAAAGGGCCTCCTTTCCTGGTTGGTTGACCTGAAAGCGACACCCTTCCCCCAAAAAAGGGGGAAAAGGGCACCGCTGGGCAACTGGAGTACCCTTACTCCCCCGTTGCCATGGCACCTGACGGGGAAATGGTCCCTACAAGAGGACACCTATCTTCCAGGCATCCCACAGGTGCCATGTTAGTATGTCAGTGGGAGGTAGGGCAATGCTCTCCTTCTCGTGCCACTAAAAATGGGGCAAGGGGAAACTGAAAGGTGAAAAGCTCGATTCGCCTTGGGCAAGTGAGGATTATTTCCCACCCGCGAACCTTACCAGGACCCTACAGCTATCAAACACTTTTGAAGTGAAACTCCTGCGGTAGGGGCTACTTTTCTTTTGTGGGCCTTTGACAGCCTGGTATGTGACCCGTTTGAACCTTTCGGTGTATGAGACATGGTCCAAACAACGAAAACTGCTGGGGCTTTCGACAGACAAGTCCTCCCTAGTCTTCTTATGTAGACCGAAACGATGCAACTCATCTTTCAGCTCTGCACAAACTTCTGCTCCGTGTTGCTCGCGCAGTCCTTGGTTGCGAATGGACAAAACTGGATTCACCGAAGCCGGGCTGCATGGAAAAGCACCAAGTTGCTGGTTCTGGGCAGGGAATCAGGAAGTGAACTCACAAATCAAACAGGTATCTCCAATCAAGCCCATGATCTCCCTAGCGGGCAAGCAACATGCACCTCTGTTTAAGAGTCATGACACTTCCTCCAACAAACATAAAGGGAAAACAAACAAACATACCTCATAAGCAAACGCCGGCTGCTCACCTTTCAGTGGATTGGCCAAAACAAGTCCAAACCTTCACCCAAATGGTCTTCCCGCAGTCTGCCCCCAAATCTAAATTTCTGTATAAAGAACAACCAAACACCAGGAACGTCCAGCGAGGCAAACCTCACCGAAGCAACTGGCCACCTGTCCCAACCTCTTAGGCCAGTTCCACCTGAAAGCTTTCGCCCTTGGCCACGTCCTGTCCAGGAAGCAGCACCTGACACGGGGAGCGATTTGAAACCAACGGCTCTGGGCTCCCAAAAGGCTCCCTGTGGTAAACTTGAGATTCACCTAGCCCAAACCGAGTCTCGTTGACTCGGTCCTCCAGTAGAGAGGGTAGAATAAGGCTACCAACTTTTTTCAGGACGTCTATTTTAGAAGGGGAACCCTCCCCCAACAAAGGGTGAGAAAGGGCACCAATTGCTGGGGGACCCAGGGTTGGGGAAACCACCCACTTTTGGGGTTCTAGACCCTCATAAGCGTGAGCATCTCGTCGGAAAATGCTTCTTCCATGCTTCGCCAGGTTCTGCATGTGTTTGTCAACTGCTCCGCATCCATCTGATTTGCTAGCTCCACAGCGGAAGATTGCCATCATTCGGGTCTGGGTCAAAATTAGACCACCAGGGGACCCAGGTTTTAGTCCATGTTTCCTTTACCAGGGCAACCCATCTTAAGTACCTATTTTTGACCCACAGCCATTCAGCGGCAAGTAGATTACACAAGTGAAGTGCTGTTGGCGCAGTTGCCCCCTCCCAGCGCATGGGTCACAGCTTGTCATGTGGGAGTCTCATTCGCCAAGGGTTCTTTCGAAACAATAGGCTGCTGGTTATCTTGTGGGTCCCAAAATATGGGGCCTGCACCATTTCCTTTTGGCAGTCTTTTTCAAGCGGGCTAGGCTACTTCCCAAGCCGAGCACAGGCTTTGAACCATCCAAAAGACGGGTCCCAATTCCGACAGGACAGACCATCTCTGAAGTGCTCTGAGCCCCCTGGCCCAGGTGTAGTTGTCCACCGTGATGCTTTGCCCTGTGCCTGGGGCTATGACGCTTGGAAACCAAACGGTCTCAACCAAAACAGTGCGACCGACAACCTGGAGTAGGGCAAGGTCCTCAAGCGCCCGCATGTGCTAGTGGCCACCCTTGCACCGAATGCGAATCATCGCCCAAAGGACACCACGCCTGATTTCCTGACAGAATGCTTGACTTTTTGGCGGTCACATTCATCTTCCCACTTGCCGCGCTGCTCCCTGTCACCTTCAAGCCAGCCCAACTGCAAGTGTCGGATTGGGTTCGAGTCCTCATGTACGGCCGGCCCATAACATCAGAAAACGTACAGTTCATGGCCGTGGTGGGTCCGTGCCCTTGCACATTCGTGCTAATGCTAGTTTGATGCTCGGGTGATTTTGGGTGCCAATCCGCGCTTTTGAACTGGTACTGGTCACAGGAAATGTTCATTGATACCTGCCAAGCAACGTTGCCACTTAGGTTTCAAAATAAAGCATGCTACATTCTGTTTGCTGCCGCCTCTAGGCATATTTCCTCCACCGAACACGCCGATCTTGAGGTTGCGTTCTGCTGCATCTCACACAATGGCAGGCAGGTTAGCAGGCCTTGCAGGCTTGATCAGCTGTCACGTGTACCCGGCAAAGAAGCTACACCAGCCCAGTCAGAGCCGCGCCTGTGGTCTGACAGCCCAACTCCACCAGGACGCAGCTGCTGTTGTCAAAGCCTCGGGGACATCTCTTCTGATTCCGGGGTTCAAGTCTTCAAAGGGAACATGGGTTGCCGCAAGAAAATCGTTCCGCTTCCGTTCTTGAGCGGAATGAGTCTGCTTGGACCTCTAAGGAGACACCAAGGCTCGAGTGCCGTATTTTCGACCACAGAGGGAAGCTTGCTCAAAAGGATCCAGGGCGGGCACCAGCTGAAGGGAGACCATGAAGGCAACGTAGCGCATTGCCTTTTGGCTCTCATAGGAAGGATTCAGCAAATCAACGCATCTGCGCCAATAAGACTCGTTCACGGTTCACCAACCTGATTTAGGATCCCTAAGGAACCTTCATCATAGGCAAGCTCGTTTTACCCCCACGGGCCGCCCCATGACAAAGCTCTATTAATCATTATTAATCATTAGTATTATCATCTTTACGCTTTCTATCTTTCTATCTATCTATTTATCTATCTATCTATCCATCAATATTATTTGTAAGCTTGAAATGCTCTAAATGGCAACAGCTTCTCTTCCTCTTGGAGCCCAGGACCAGATCCCAGCATAGCCAGGTGCTTGCTTCCGCTAACCCCCGGCCCAAGTCTGTAAGAACAGGGGTCACTGGATTCCTCTTCGCAATTTGCACTGCACTGCTGTTCTGTGTGATAGTTTCCACTCTTGGAGGCTCAAAGAAAGGAATTTAGAGACCTAGGAACAAGGGTCTCCCCGCCCACACTCCCTGCAAATTGACATGGAAACGAACACGAGGGTCCTTTCTCCATCCAAACAACACTCGCTTGCATCTGCAGAGCTTTGGCAGCTTGGGCTCGTGCCAACATGGCCCTTGTCGCAGCTCCTCAGTACGGCCCAATTCGAATGGCAAATTTGGCTGAGCGCCAAACAAAGAGAGACTTCCAAGTGGGGCCTTTGGGTTCCTTTAGGAATATACCCGGCGTACGTGGCGGGGACCAATCTGGGGGTGCCTACCTCAAGGTATACTTGGGTTACCTGGCTAGGTCCTCCAGTAGAGAGGTTGGAATAAGGCTACCCTTTCTTTTTCCTGTAGTCTATTTTAGTAGGGGAACCCTCCCCCAAAAAGGGTAAAAGGGCACTACTGGGGAACCTAGCTGATTACCTGGTAATTACCTATGGGGCCTTGACCGAAGAAAGAAAGCCGCGAGATGACTCAGAGATGAATCAGGATACCTTCCCTCATTGAGAGTGGGATGCCCTGCACCACCCTGTGCAACACAAACATAAATGTGTCTCAAAGTGCCACCAGGGACCAACAAAGGATGGGTGTGTTTTCTTGTTGAGGGTACCCTTTTCACCTTGGTTTTAATGGGAACCAAAAGAACAACCACCTCCCCTTGTTTTTTTTGCTGGGGGGGTGTCTCCGCAATTGACACGTGATAAATCCAAGTCTGAAGTTGCACTCCCTGGAAGAGCCCTGAAGCAGCGTCTGGGTTTCACAGAGCTCGCGTTGGAGAAACCAAAAGGCGAGTCTCGCCTGCAAACTTAATATAGAACGTAACAATTAGTGTCCACAGAAGGACACTCTTAGAATGGCTTTCTGCGTTCCAGGATAAACCCCATGCCAACTTTGCAGGGGAGTACACTGTACACCTTTGCCCACATCCTCACCTGCCTTAGTTTGGTGTTCAAGTACCCCAGAGTCCCCAGAGCCCCATTCTTATTTAGGCCCTCAGCCCGGGCAAGCGGCATGTGCAACGGCCCCGCATAGTCCCAGTTCACATCCGCACATGCAGCCTCAGAACGAGCCGGTGGAAATGCATCCATGAGCTACCGAGGTGGAACTAGTACTCCCATCCCCATGAATACTCCATGACTTCCAAGGGCAGATTCCAAAGATGTCGCACAGAGCATTTCACCCTAAGACAACTCCAATCCGGCGAAGCCGGGGCCTGGCCCCCATTGCTCAAGGGATCTCACTTTGTCTCTGGATTTTACTTTAGCTCTGGGATGGGCGATCAGGGGTCGAACCTAGGTCAACGTTCGACCCGAAACCTTGTTAGTGTGCTTGTTTGTGTGTCTGATGGTGGGTTGCTTGCTTGCTGGGTTGCTTGCTTGCTTGCCTTGTTACCAAAAGACCAAGTGCCCCTGACGATGGATATGGCCAGGCAACGGACATTCGCGATATTCCAGTCCGTTTGCTTTTCAGCCAACCCTTGGTATATTGGGAAAACACATCTTGTTGCACACCAACCCGCCAAACCCGGGTCTAGTAGCAAACGAACAACTGGTTGTTGAGAAAGGAGTGACGGACGTAGCAGCAAAGAAGCAAAGGGACACCACCCTTGAATGTGAAAGCAGGCCTTACCAACCCCTCATTCCCGCACGAAAAGGTCCTGAACACCGTCATTCGTGGGGGCAAACCCAATTTTTGAGGACCGAGTCTCCCTATGTGATTTTCAGCGGGTGAACTTCCATTTGCTTTAGGTCCATGAAACAATGACAGTATTTCCAGCAGTATAGATTCCCTAAAAACATCAACACGGGAAATTAAGCCATACTGTTATGCAAATGGAGGGTGAGGTGCTGTGATCTCCCCGTTTCTCTCTTCTCAAAGCTCAGCCCTGCGCAGTCCAGACACTTCCATGGACCACCTGCAGTGCGCAGTGAAATGCTCCGCGTGGCGGTGAAATGGATGGTTCAGTGACCAATAGGGGCGATTTGGGGGGCCATTTGGCCATGGGTCAAACTCCAAATCGTACCCCCAGTGAACATCCGACTCATTCCCCACTAAAATGGGTGGTGAATTCACCTACCAACCAAAATGGGATCCCAAAATGGTTTTGACAACCACAGCCATTTCACAGCAACTGGGGGAGGGCTGCAAAAAAATCTTTTTGGCTGAGGGGTGCAAAAGGCATCCAGCTGAAATCAACCAATCACATAGACCCTCCCTGCTGTCTCTCACAAGGCGGGACTATTGGTGTTTTTGAGAATCCTCTTTTGCTGCATGGATGCCCCAAAACTAGCCAACCGTGTTGGGGTTCCTCCGTTTTGACCCTCTGACACCCTTTCTTGAATTCCCGCCTCAGAAGGTGGGTGCTGCGTCAAGAGACTGCCGCCAACATTAGCCTGGCGCAGACCGTGGCTTAGCATGTGCGATGAGGCCTAGGCTTCCTTTGTGGAAAATGGATGGCGCTGGTGTGCCAATTGAACAAAACAAACAACTTGCAAGCAACAAAGACAGAATACTCTCAAGCACCACGCTATGCGCCTATAATGATCTAAGATGTCTAGGGCTAGGAGGTAGAATATGGGCATGAAAACCCGGCAAGCGAGATTATCTCTGAACGCCAAGCTGAAGTTAAGGTATCCGCACACAGTTGCTACGCGTGCACAACTACTCCCAGGACACGGTTCGACACTGAGACTTATGAATGAGTACACCCTTTATCTCTACCAGAACATTCATCATGCTCTGCAGCACCGACACCCGGCTTTTTCTGTTCAAACACACTTGGGTGTTCCCAATTCTGATTCCCAACTCATTTACCCGGACACCCCTAACATCTAGCAATTGCTTTGTGCAGTGCTCTCCTTCGGGTGACCGTCATAGTGGAAGACTCCGCCGATCCGATCCTTGCCAGCTTCTGTCGATACGCGTTGCCTGCACGAAGGACGTGTTCAAGCACGGGTTCTCGATACCTGAGCGCAAAGTGGATCGATGTCGACGTGGCCTGGCAAACGACGTCTTAAGGGCAATGTGAAAGTTGGATCAATTCCCGACAAGCACACAGTGTCGAGACGGCGCTCATTTTTGTGGCTGAGTGTTTGTTTTTGTTGCTGGTTGCACGTTGTCTACACCTCAACGATTGCATTTAGGACAGCTCTTTGGCGGATGCTGTTGCTACTGACCCTGGATTGATAATCCCACAATGATTCGGGGGTGTCTCCCTCCCCCCGAACAAATGTTCAGGCTTCGACAAGTTGCTGACACTTGCGCGTGTAGCTGAACTTGCATCTTCGAGACACATTGTTGGTGCTGGTTCGCACTCATGATGCATTCAGGCTAGGGGAAGGCTGACAAAACCGGCTTCACTATTTTACCATGATCAAAGTCACCCCCGAAGTGGTGCGTTTAAAGGGAAATACCACCATTTTCTGACTTTGATTACCCCCAGAAACCGCCAAAATAATGCCCCCAGCGAAACCATTGACAGTGTTTACTCAACAAACAAGCTTGGATGTGTCCTGGTCCTGCGATTCCCAAAGAGAATTTGAACAACCCATCCCCTCAAAACCGGGGTTCCGTTTTTTGACTACCCCAAAGTCGACTTAAACCCAGCTGTTTGGGGTAGTCAAAAAACGGAACCCTGCTCAAAACACCTTCAATGAACCGAATCTTTGAGTTGCTCGTCGGTTTTCCACCCAAGTAGTGTATGGCAGGCCACTCGCTCGTGCGCCTCGGCCCTCCGACAAGGACGCAATGTCATTCTGCTGTGTGTTTGAACTACTTCAAGTTGGAACCTCCCATTAGATGGTCTGAACCAAGATCAAGCAACTATCCATGTGGTTGCAATTCACTCACGCCAGTTCTCTGACCAAATTTGTGCTGCAGCCCTTGGCAGTTTTCGCAAATGAATGCTGCAGAGGTCGGAAGCTCTGATTTCCGATGGACGCCGAAAAGTCTGCAATCAAGCTTCCATACCCGAATGCTTGGCCACTCATGGGCCTTCTAAATTCATGACTCACAGTCAGCCACAGGAAGGGATGGTCTGATGGTGTGAAACATGCTTGTTCTAAATAAAACTTCTAATTTGCAGAGAGGCTCCTTAATGCCTCAAACCGAATGCCTGGCCTAGGGCCAGGCAAAACGCCTGGCTGGTTGGGCCCCGTGCACGTGGAGGAGTCTGCAGTGAGCACGCCGTAGTTGCACGCCACCTGTGTTCAAACAGCTCCTTTTGGGCTTGAACACTCGTAAAGAACTTGGCCGCTAGGCTTTGTTGCTGTTGACCCCACTGCAAGAAGTTTAACTTTTTGTGGGTTTAGTGGAAATCCCAACTTTTTTTCAACCAAACAGTTTCGAGTCCAAAGATCCAACCCAATAGCCAATAGCACTCAAGTAGGGTAGTATTAATTGGGCTTGGGGGAATGACATGACTTCTTTTTCGAAACCGGGAGTTTGCCAGACCGGTGGCCATGGGACAACACACATCTGATTTAGATGATTCTAAAGGGACGCCCCCTCAAAAGCCTAAGAATGGAAGCAACCCACTAAAGTAAGAGGATCGCAAAGGCGCCGGACTGCGCGACTCGCTGCAAATGGACGTGATGATTTTTGTGTTTTTCTTTAATTCTCGGGCCCTTGGAACAAAACTAAGGAGACGCGATGCTTTTACAACTCACCATATTTAGTCACTATATGTGGTGAGTTCCAACAGCATTTCTTCATTTAGTGGGTACCTTATGTAACTTGACTCTGGAACTAAAAGGTAAACACCTTTTAGTGTGACTACACATGGATCAAACTAGGAAAACCATAAGGCCGGATTCGGTCGCCTTGAACAACCGGGCAAATAACGTGGGTACCTCAGCACCTACATCTCTCCTTTTAGCGGGTACCTCATGTAACTTAACTCGATACGTGGGTTCTTCAGGGGGTACAACCATTGACCAAACATGGGAAAACCAAAAGGTCAAAGGGCCTGCCTCAGGGGCGTTCTTCCATTTGGTCAAGACTCCTGGAAAGAATATAACAAATATTTCCAGTAGTGATAGATTCCCGTCAAAACCAACAGGGAAATATAATCAATGTTCTTAAGTAAATGGGCGTTTTTCAGGGGGTACCCTTCAACTCGGCTGGGCCCTTCAACGCGCCTGGAAGGACCCGTAGAAGTCCGCGTCCAGGCTGCTGCACTCGGCGGCGTAAGATCCCTGATGTGTTGTCTCCGCCTCGAGTTCGAGGCGCCCGGCGAAAATTGGTGAAGCTGCAGACTCGAACCCCTAGGCACAAAGGATGCTGACATCAAAAAAAACGCATTTGGTGGATTTCAGCTGTTCTTCCCCCTGTTGGTACTACTCTTTCAGTATTTTTTGAGTAATTACTCTTTTGATATTCTACAGGCGCGGATCTACAGATTCGCCACATCCAAACGGTTTCTAGATGACAGGGCTGCCCTACAGGGACAGGATGGTCAAACATTCTTGGCATCACTTAGGCTTCCATCTGGTTAAGATCCCTGGAGAAAATGAGAACATGATTCCAGTAGTGATAAATTCCTGTTAAAACACCAACAAGGGACATTAAAACATGTCCAAAGCAAATGGAAGCAGGTGGGGATTCCCGTCCACACACTTTGAGGTGGTTCCCTCTTGAAACTTCACGGTGAATTCCATTTTTGGCCCAGAACTCTGCAATCCACATGGGGTGACATTTTTTTTCGGGGGATCTCGGTGATCCTTTTTGGTTTCCCTTTAAACCCACCCAAAAACAAGGGGGCCCCCCCACCAACAAAACGGGGCCCTTCCACCAAAACGACGAGCCACCCCTCCTCCCGTCGCCATGACGCGCCTGCGAGGAGTGTACGCGGCTCACAGCGTCCAGCTGGAGGGTCACGCTGCTGCCGACGCCGCAGGGCGATGGACTGAGAGCGCACGACTGCGACGTGTCTGGGCCGTCCGTTTTCAGCTCCGCGAAAAGTGACTGACTCTTGGTGAATTCAAATGGAACTCCAAGCTGAGGGGAGGGATGGGAGCTGAGGGGAGGGATGGGAGCCCTGTGGCTTGGTGGTTGAGGAGAGGTTCAAATCCCCAAACCACCAATTCAAGGTTACCTGACCAACTGCGACCTTGGTTGACATTCTTTCAGCTTGTTGCTGTCAGGGAACCAACAGGAAAAACCCTTGCGAGAATTGGGGTTCCGACCAGTCTGGTATGCAGCACCTGACTCACAATCTTAGAAAACAGGAAACGGACCAAGGAAAGGAACCGTTCGTGGGTGAAACCGGTCTCAAACGGCAACGCCCGCCAGGCCCATGGCTTTTGCCCTGTCGTCTGAGGCGCCAACTGACAGCCATCAGCATTCACTACAAGACTGCCCAGGTAGCAGGTGGCATTCACAACCTCAGTCTGAAGGCTAGGTCAGCCCGGAGGGCTTTTCGATGCCTTTTGGGGCGTTCCAAAATTGGGACTCCAAGATTTCTTGGCTTCCCTGCAACACCCTCCAAAAGGAAGTGCCCTGAGTTTCTCCGAAGCGCAAAGAACACCAAGGACTTTTTGGTGTGAGGGCTACATGTCAAGCAACATGTTTGACAGCCCTTCGCACTTCACACCACCAAACCAACAAGAAAACTGAAGCGAGAGGCGTTCTCACCTAGGTCCTGCAGTAGAGAGGATAGAAGAAGGGTGCCCTTTTTGCTGTAGTCTATTTTAGTAGGGGACCCTCCCCCAAACAAGGGGTGAGAAAGGGCACTACTGGGGGACCTAGTCACTCTGCGACCATCTGGCGTCCCGGCCCCGGAGTAGCCCGAGTTCACACTGGAGCACGTGGCCGCACTGAATGTGTCCCCATGAGACAGCGCCTCTCAGGAGCTGAGCCGACTTCGGGTGGCATCACTTCATATCCCCAGAATCGCTCAGAGAAAGTGGCAATTGATCAAAAACCAACAACATGACTCCAAACGCAGGGTGTTGGGTCCTGCAACCTAACCCCCTCTGTGATGTTTTAAGCCCAATTCTTTATCAAAAAGCCTACACATGTACTTGTGGGCATGCACACCTCACTTCCTAGGTGAATCGGCTCAATCAAGTCCGAACTTTCGCTTGCCTCTACAAATGGCCTTCTCAAATGGCCTTCTCCAAGAGTATCAGTCCAGGAGAGTGACTACTATTCACATTCGATTTCAGCAAGTTCTCTCCATCCTTGATTCCCTCCGTGGCGTGGCCGTCTGATCCAGGTGCCCGCTGGAAACCCACAAGAACCAGGACCACCCCAACGGCAATCAAATGGTTTGTTAAATGACTTTTGATCAAATGCTGACCCGCCCTCAATCATGCCCGTTTCCTCCAAGGTGCATGTGATCCCGAAGTGGGATTCCCATCATGACGAGCTTTTCACTCTGGCTCGAAGTCCCTTGACTTCGCAGAAAGTAGCCCCAAACTCCCAGTTTTCCACAAGACAAATGCCCATGCCTGGCCGGGCCACCCTTGATATATTCCACCTTGGAAAGGGAAGCAAAACAGCTAGTTCAAAGGAGCACCTAAGGATGATATCTTATACCCATATTTGCTTGCTGGTGCTCAGCAGGGAATGAGACGTGGAATGACCCTTGTAAACCATCCATCTGTTGCGGTTTCCTTTCGGGAATCCATGGGTTCATTCCATTTCTCATTCCCTCACTGGCTGAGTGGATGTCCCAAAAAAAGTCCAACCTTTTTCTGTACCACTAAAATGGTCCTCCCAAAAAGTTGAAAGTTCATGAACTCAGGAAGTGAGTTCCCTATCGCACGTTTCAGCTTGGTGCTTTTTCAGGATCCAAAAGGACTGGGAGCCAACCCAGGCGCCTGAGTCGCAAGGACCTGAGAGGAGATGCCGCCCACCACAACCTCGGAGAGCGATGCGCCAAGGGACCCATCTTAAACTGCCCTACATAAAACTGAGAACAAAAACTAATCCTTTTGGGGCATTTCGCCCCAAAATGTCTGGGTAGCTTGGAAGCGACCCAAGTTCGGGGAAGTTACCCCAATTTTTGCTTGGGTAGTTTGTGGGTCCAGGAAGACCTTCTTGCATGGAACAAGTCAGCTTTGACATCTGCCGCACATTCCTGTGAAACAGGCCCCAAAGCAGACCTGCGACACCTAAGCTCCGTGGACTTATTTTTATCTGATCTTTTTGTTTCTTTCTCTCTTAGCATAGGGCCATGACCCAGAGATCTGGTACAGCCTCCCCGGTGTCCCGGTGGCCGCGGGGGATTCTTGGTCGCTGATTTCAAGTGGAAGACGTGCAAAAAGAAAAAACCGACCAAATGATTCTGGGAGTATCGGGGAGAGTTGGACTCTTTTTAGGTCTCCCCTCTAGGGATATTCAGTACTGGTCCCCGGGCCGCAATTTCCGTGAAACGAGGACGGAGCGCCATTGGAGGTCTGTGACAATGCCTGATTGGATTGGCCACATGGCCAAAGGCGTGTTGCTTGCTACTAGAATGGTCTTGCCAAAAAGCGCTGGCTGGTATATAGGGCGTTTAGAAAAGACCACAGCAGCATACCCAATTCTTGTTGTTTCCCTTTCGGGAAAATTAGAAACTGCGGGCAAGTTATCACCCAAACAATAATAGCTCACTTCCTGAGTGGATGGGCCAAAACAAGTCTGAACTTTTGATTTACCGCTACAATGGCTGTGGGCCACTGTGGGTCAAAAATAGGTACCCCAAATGGCACCCTGGTAAATGGACACAATGACTAAGACCTGTGGTGCAATTCCTGGTGGTTTAACTTTGACCCATACCCAAATGGTCCGAACGCACGTGTGAAGTCCATGTGTGCAGGTGCGATACTGTCCGGGAACTCCAGTGCGCTCTACGGACCTGTGCGCCCAGCACTTGCAGCTGCGGTGCTGGATGAGCAACCGCGCCTGGGGTTTGGCGGCGTGAGGCCAAAACGTGCGGCAGCCTTGAGCCTAACTCTACATGTGGGTCAAACATCGCTACACAAACTGGAATCCTGGTAAATGGAAACAAGGGTACAATCTGTGGCCCTCTGGTGGTTCAATGTTGACCCATACCCACGTGAGCTTTGTGGACTACTCACTGGCTGAAGTGGATGGCGCAGAAAAAGTAACCAAACCTTTTTAAATTTACTAATATTTACGGTCTTCAGAAAAAGTGTAAAGCTCATGAACGCAGGAAGTGAGAGTACGAACATCTGCATGACGTCGGCCAAGTACTTGCTAAATATCCACAAAATAGCCACGAGATATCCACGGGCCACGGTTTTTGGCAAGGTCCTGGAGAAGTTCCTGTGGATGGCAAGAACCATATCACATAGGCGCCCTATGGCTTCTCCTAGCACAGGGGACCCCCCGCAAACCGGTAGGGCCCCTTCTAATGGGAGACATGATCCGTTTGGAAGCGGCCAATGCATGAAACCGCTGCAAAGGTGCCTGAATTTGACTCGAAAGAAAAGTGTGTTAAACGCGATGTCCTTCTCTGATTCCCCGTTGCTGTTATTCCTGGTGTGAAACACAGACATTCATTCCAGGTGCAGGTTTGTGCAGAGAAATGACAACTCGCGAGCTACGGCTCACTGACCCAACTGCCCTGTATTCAATTGTCGTGATACAACCCCTGCATCAATCTTGATGTCAAAGGAGCGAATGCTGGGCATGGCTGCTGTTCTTGTGAGGCAGCTTCCCATGGATGCCGACACCACCAAACTCTGGGCACCCCCCCGCAGTGCAGCAGGCAAGCTGGAAGCCCCCAAAAGCCACGTCCCGAACAAACAAATGGAGTGGTTCCATTTTGGAGGGTATCATGTTCAGATTGGTTCAAAACAAGGAGGATACCATGCAACACGTGGGGTACCAGGTTCAGATTGGTTTAAAGGGACACCGAAAGGACATCACCATTTGAGGGTTCCCCTATTCTGAGACACGCCCCACTCCCTTCCAGGCTCCATGAAGCCAGGTCGCGGCGTGCAGGTAGAGACATTCGGCGTGAGCACAGCTGGCAGCGTACCGGTCCAACTTTGCCACTTCCCAACTTTGGGATTACCGGCAAGCGCCAGCCTCCACAAAAGGAAGTAGGCCCAAAGAAGCAAACCTACACTAACTTGGTTGACGTTGGAAGGGGAGCAAAAATTCTCAAATTCTAGCAGGCAAGTGAAGATTTCCCACTAAACCCCAACAAGCAAAAATGTAAAATATTTCCCAACAACAACCATACTAAAACCAACAGAATATGCCTTTGAAGCAAGTGCCTTGCCCCTGTCATCCTCAGAGCAAGACCTCTGTTTCATACCCACCTGTATCGTCAAAAATCATCAAAGAGCCTTTCCCCGGCACTGTTTAGCCCCGAGTTGCGACCCGACTCTACGGGATCCTGGAAAAGTGGCCATCCCTCAGGTTGGGCCGACCATCTGTTTCAACATGACTAAACTCATGCGGAAGCATCCACGCGTTACTTGTATGTTAGAGCCTTAGAATAAGGGTACCCGATTTTCCTTCGGTAGTCTATTTTGCCGTGATCGTTCACGGCTCAGATCGGAACCTACAGCTCTGGAAGCGAAATGGGATATGCTAGGGCCAGCTCCGAACCACACCCCAAGGCCCAAGGGGCGGTGAGGGTGAAAGACCCAAGCAAGGCTCACTTGGCAAAACGGAATCCACACTGTGTCGATTCCACGCAAAAATGCTTGATCACCAGCCTCCGCTGCAGAAGACAGCGAGACTGCCGTCATGTCCCGGCGCTACCTCGAATGCTCAGTGGACGTTGAAACCTACGCCCCTACAAATTACCCTCCAACCAATTAAGATGGAACCTGACAGGGGGTCCCTTTAAAAGGAGGAAGATTGTCTTTCAGAACCCCCGAAACGTCAGGTTCCATGTTAGTTGGTGGGAGGGAAACATGGAACCCCAAACAGCCTCATGTGTAGAGGAGACTCCGTTTGGAGGGCCCCTTCTGGGGTTCCTGTTGATTAAACCATCGTTCTTTGAAAAAACAACAACAGCTGTTTCCCCTGAAGTTCTGATGGTTTTTCTGGAAAGAAGGATCCCTGAAAAGGAAGTAAGACCTGCCACAGCGACACCGATGGGGTGTGAGGCAATCCCGGGCTGGGGCTTGAGGCAGGGTCCACAAAGGGAAAATTTGGCCGATGCTGTTGGGGATACTTCCCGAGCCGATTTGCTTCCTATCGGTTGCTTTCTTCTCCCCTGCTAAAAGTTTAACTTTTAGTGGGTTTAATAGAAGACCCATTCGTTGGCAAAAAAATAAAGTCCTAACATCCAAGCAAAATGCACCAAAGTACCATTCATGTTGTTACTATCAACAAAAACAACACATGTTGACCTAGTGCGTGGTCAAAGAAGCTCAGGTTTTGCCATGGACTTTCAAAGGTTTTACCACAGGAGGCTGGACCATACCTCTAACGGCTACGCACAAAAAGCGAGGACGTGAGGGGTATATAGCTGGGAGGAAGACTTATTTATCATATTTCTGCCTTGTGGTCTGATCTACTGCTCAGGAAACCTTTGAACGTCCCCATGTCAGTTAAGTCGCAATCAAAACCCGGCATTAAAATGGCTGACCCAGAACCATGTAAGGAAATACAAAGGCGGCCGCAACTATTTTTGGCTGGGATTGTCCCTTACAAACCTTCATCTACCCGGGTTTTGGTTGTGGCTCAGTTGCGGACAACCATGTCACGGCCATTTCAGAGGTCCAACTCCTTCCTTCCAAACATCAGCCCTCCCTCCCAGCCGTTCCACACCCCGGCACCGCGCTAAGCCACTGGCTGAATCACAGCTCAGGGTCACCATCTCCAAGGATTGAACCGCTTGTCCGATGGGCACGGGGCTTGTCACGCCAGTCCTGGGTGAGAAAAAGGCAGTTGCGCGGGCGCGCATCCATGGGGCCGGGCTGAAGGTGCTGAGAGAAGGAAGCCTGCGGTTCGTGGAATCTCTCGCTTTCGGAAACCTCTGCTTTGGGGTTCCTTCTGTTGTTCTGCAGGAGACTAATTCAAAGGACCTTTGAGGGCATTGATCTCAAATAGAGCTCCCGCTCGTCCAGTGCAAGCTCATAGCTTTGATGCCAAGTATCCTCGCACACAAATCCAGTGGGAGGAGTCGTCCACTCGGCCCCGAACCTCTCATGTTTTGATACATCATGGTAGCCCAAGTTCGCTGGAATTCTCCCCAGGCCTGGGGACATGTTCGGAGTCGCTGCTGGCTTGCTTGCACAAAGCGAACTGACTCTTTGACCCTTTTTGTCCAAGTTCGGCTTCCATTTTTGGTCTTCCAAGCTGTGACTGATAAAACAGCCTTCTCACCGATGAATACTTTACTCAAAGGGGCATAACGTTCCCTGGTTTCACGGAAGTGGTTGAAACACGGTTTAATCTCAAAATAGGAGGACTCCGAAGTGAGCAGTTTCCTTTTAGTTGCGCGTTCAAAACAATCAATTGGAACAGCATCTAAACAAGGTTAACTCACAAAACATTTGACAGCATCTTGTTGGGGGCCTGGAAATTTGGTTGCTTTCCTTTGAATGTTTCCTTTTCAACAACCCACCGATTCATTGTTTGTTTGGCTTTGCTCGGGTCCTGCAACATGGATATGTCTCCATTATGAACTCCTTTTAAACCAACCCCGAATTGGTAGTTGCATGTTATCGACGTATCCCCCAAACAAACGGTCATTGTTTGTTTTGCTTTTATTTGGGCAATCTTGTTTTTTCATTTTTTTTTTTTTTAAACATGACTAGAGTTAGGCCCAATTA